TTCGAGACAGGGTTTCTCTGCGTAGCTTTGCGCCTTTCCTGGAGCTCACTTGGTAACCCAGGCTGGCCTCGATCCGCCTGGCTCTGCCTCCCGAGTGCTGGGATTAAAGGCGTGCGCCACCACCGCCCAGCCCACAGTGATGTTTTCTGAGTCACTCCAAAGCGGCAAGCACCAGGCACTTTACTCTTAAACGTGAGGTTTCCTCACTAACAACAAGCACACACTCCCACAGAACCACAAGGTCATCATCACACCCAGGAAACACAACAATGATTCCAGTCATCTTACCCAATCACAGCTTCACATGCAGGTTCCAAACCCCAGCTGCCAGAAAGAGATCCTTTACTTAAAGATTTTAAAACCTCGTTTCCAGATTACATGCAGGTGTGTGTTTCTGCATGTGGGTGTGTCTGTGTGAGTGCACATGCCCTCTGAGGCCAGAGGTGTGTGAGTACTGGAGTTAGTCACAGACAATTGTGAGCCGCCTGGCATGAGCACTGGGAATGGAACTCAGATCTTCTCAAGACTAGTGTGAGTTCTTAACCCATGAGCCATGGCTCCAGCCCATTTAAAATTTTCTTAATCCAAAATATATCCACGTAATTTACTTTCTGGGTCAGGGTTTCCTTATGTAGTCAAGGATTACCTTGAACTAATAATCCTCCTGCCTTAGCTTCTTGAGTCTCAACATCACAAGCATATGACCCCATATTCAGCTTTCACTATCATTCATTCATTATTTTGTGGTACTGGGGATTGAACTTAAGTCCTCACATGCTAAGCAATCATTCTCATTTTCAATAGGGTTGTTTGCATGTTTTGTATATTAAATTAATTAATTTTTTGGCAGTGCTGCACACAGAACTGAAAGCCTTGTACATGTTAGACAAACACTCTTCCACTGAGCTAGCCCAGCATTTACAATGCTGGAAGCTCAGGCTGCTCCCTCCCAGGGTATCACATGTCTGCCTTTGGTTTTCACTACACTTACTGTTTGTGCTAGTTTCTCATTTTTTACCAATATGAAGCACATGGTCCTGCCTGGGTCATCAGCAAAATAAGCCGACCGAGAATTTTCGAGAACTGACAGACAGAATTGCAAAATGGTCATTGGCTTTGCAAGACAAATCAATGAGTTCACATTTTTACAGACTTACAATCAAACCACATAACCTGCTTGGGGAGCTCTGTGATACTTTTTCTGGAAATGGATCTCCAGGCAATCAGATGCTCACTGGGCCTAAGAGCTCTCTGCAAGGGAACTAGAGAAAACAGCAGATGGGGGAACTGTTGAAACAAGGGGGATCCTCTGCAAGGTCTTTCAAGATATTCACCGAGGGCTAGGGGTATAGCTCAGTGGCAGACTACTTGCCTCTATTGTGCAAGGCCCTGGGTTCAATCCCCAGCATTGCAAAAACAAACCATACAACCCCACAGTCATATTCATATCCATCAGTAAATGAAAGAATAAAAGGAGGGACTTGGGCTGGATGCCAAACATAGATCAAGACTTTGAGGGCAGTGTGACACATGAGCTTCACTGGACCTTTACTGAGTTGCAGCAAGCTTGTTCTGGGAAACAAGCGAGGCTTGGGGGAGGGAGGCGGGGAAGGCTGAAGTTGGAAGATACCAGGTGTGTCAACACAAGAGCAGTAGACAGAGGGAGCTGATGCCAGAAGAGGCTCGACTTCAAGTGTCACCCAGGGCTCTGCTTGGTGTCCCCAGTGGGATGGGAGGCCACAGTCTGACTTTTGCTTTGAGAGGCCGGCATTACACACTGAGAGGAAACTGCAGGCCCCAAAGGAGAAGCAAACGTCCCGACAAGAGGTGAAAGACAGCAGCAGCACAAACCTAGGTGCTGGAGGAGTAGGTGCAGGGAGATAGGTGGTCCATTGACACTGGACAGGAAGAGCTGAGGGCACTGACCAATGAAACTGGAGTGGGAGAGAAAGAGGAGGAGGTCAAGATGAGCCCAAGGCAAGATGGCACTGTGAGCAACTGAGACAAGAAGAGGCTACAGGCTGGTTCTATGGGAGATGGGTCCAGGTGCTCTTCAGAACAAGAGAGGCATCCTGAGATGCTGCTGGGAACACAGGCTTAGAGTTCAGAAGAAACTCATGGCTGGGGACAGGGGTGTCCCCACACAAAAAGGGGTGGCCATTAGCTGTCTGGTGGGCAGATGCAGACTCCACATGGCTAGATCCTCTCAGACTCAAAAGGAATAGGGAGTTAGGTTTCTACAATGAAATATTCTGACTTTAAACTGTTGGTAGCTAACAGACTTTTCTTGCTCACACTCTACCAGTTGTCCTTTTATGACACAGCAGACACTGCTATGGCTCGAGGTCACACGGTGGCTGGCTTTGAGCTCTACCAGGGGCTGCCTACGACGTTAGGAGGGCGGGGGAGAGCAGAGGAATGCAGGGCCACTTCCAACTCCAAATAGCAGCCAGCACCCTGGAGTCTTGAGACTGACAAAATGGTGGCTACTCAGTCAACTAGGAAGAAAACGGTAAGTCCTTATCTGCTAGAGAGGGTTGGGAAAGCCGTGGCAATGAATGTATGCTGGGTGCAGGCACACTGTATAAGGAAAGACTTGGGCAGATAATACAACCTCAGAGGCTGGTGAGCCAGAATGCTATTCTTGCAAAGTCTCTTTCCTTCTCTGTTCTCTCCTTCCTTTTCTCACCAGACAGCCTACCCTGCACACAGCTCACCACCTCTGCTCCATGCCAGCCTTCTCTTCAGGACAACAAAGGGAGGCTTCAATTAGGGCAAAACCAGAGTGTAACCATATCTTTCTGTCCTAGGTGGAAGCCACCTTTAGCACGATACCTGCTGTGCAGGACCAAAGACCTGGGACTGGTCAGCAGAGTTCTCCAAGACTGTGTTTCTTATCAGAGCAACAAGGTCAATAAATACTTGTTATGTCACGATTCTTGCTGGGTAGAGTCGGCATTTCTTTAAGTCTACCAGACCTTATCATGGAGATAAAAGTGCAGCAATCCTAAACCTCTCTCCTAGCATCAGCTGAGGATTGTCATGAAGACAGAAACATGCCAGACTTTCAACACTCAGCTACCACCCAACCACTCCAGGGTCAGCTTTATAGAAATCTTTTGTGTACTTTGAAGTATGATGATCTTCAATATTACAATCACCAAAATAATTAAACAAACAAACAACAACAAAAGCCAGCCGACAACATGGTAGGACCAGGTTTTAAAATCCCTATTGCTCCGAGTTTTCTGAATGTCATTTTCTTTAGCAAAAGATGTAATTTGCAGTCAGGATGAGAAAAGCCAGCCAGCCATTACTTTCTTAATGGCCAACTACCCAAAAAGGCTCAGTTAAGTGATCTCAACTAGCAACTAATCAATTAAAATTGATAAGTGAAATACTTTTAACCTTTATTTCAGCAGGGCCCTTCCTAGGGGAAGGAGCGAAGGAATGTGAATTCCCAGCATAAAATTTAATTCCATTTCACGGATACAACATTGAAAGGAGCCGTCTCCTTCTCTGCACAGATCAAATCAGAGAAAGACTGGTCCTCGATCAATTCTAGCCTTACAGAAATCACGGTGGCTATTTTTCAGGGTGCAGGGTCAAAGGAGATAGGCAAAGAGGGTCATAATTTTTTTCTTTCTCTAACACATGGAGAGATGAAAGCAGGACACTTGTACTCATTACCCCCATCCCATCTCCTGCACATACACATGTAATTAAAAACAGTAAAAATAGATTTTTTTTTTCAAGACAGGGTTTCTCTGTGTAACAGCCCTGGCTGATTTGTAGAGCAGGCTGGCCTTGAACTCACAGAGATCCTCTTGCCTCGGACTCTCAAGTGCTGGGAAAAACAGATCTTTTAAAAAGAGACTAATGCACCAGAACGCTCTGACCCAGAGAACTATGTCCTTCAGTGTGTAGTGCCCATGGCCAGTGGAGGAGAGAGAGCCGCAGAGGTATGAGAGCGGCCCCAAGAACACCACCATCTCTGTAAATCTTGACTACAGAATGGCCAGGGAGAAACGTGCTTGTGATCCCAGCACTCTGGAGCTGAGGCAAGGAGACCTCAAGTTCAAGGTCAGCCTGGCCTTATTTTGAGATACTCTGTCTCAAAGATAAAATTTTTATTTTATTTTACCTTATGTTGCAGAGGGAAATTTGAAGCAATGAATGATGGTGTCCTGGTTATTTGTTTTTCCCCCCTTTTACTTCTTTAAAAATCATCTTCACATAGGCTAAAATATTTTGAGAAGAGGGAACCTGAATTGACAAAATTCCCTCACAAGATGGGCCTGTGGGCATGCCTGTCAGGGAGTTAATGATGAATGCTTGAATGTGGAGGGTCACGCCCACCGCAGTGGTGCTGTGGCAGGTGGCTGTGTAAGAAAGCAGACTGAGTGAGTCATGAGGAACAAACAAGCCAGTAAGCACACTCCTCCATGGCTTCTGCTTCAGTTCCTGCCTCCAGGTTCCTGCTCTGAGTTCCTGCCCTGACTTCCTTCGATGGCAGACTGCGATGTGGAAGCTAAACAAACCCAAGTTGGTATTGGTCACGATGTTTTATCATAGCAAAAGAAGCCCTCACTAAGACAATGGTCAATACAGCTCAAGGTTATAGGCTGAGCACAAGTCTTTCTGATTTGCAAAGCTCTCATTCTTACCTAAACACTGGTGACTTGTTTTGGGGGTTGTGTCTTTTCATTTTGATAGTTTGTTTTTTATGGGCTTTCTTTTGGCATCAAGAGACCCCTTTTTCCACTGGACTCAGACAGAAACCCTTTAATCCACAATACCAGCAAGGCCAGTGCTGTTCTCCTCCTGTCAATGAGGGCCCACTCTCACTGGACCTCCTACTGTCCAGCACTGACCCTTCAGCATGGTCCTGGGTCAAGAGCAGTTCAGACTGTATGCTGTGTACACTCCCACCCCTGCAACAGGGGACTCAACAGAGCAGTGCCTGCGTCCCCTGGTACAAGCCAAGATGGCCAACTCACTCAAATCCAAGACATCATCTGTTTTGATCAGGTCCTCCTCCCGAGTCAGTGGCAACTGGGTCTCAGGTTCCCCACGCAGCTGCAGTGACAGGGACCGCAGCATGAAGAATACTCGGATGGCCTAGATAGAGCAGAGAGCAGAGGAGAGTGGAGTTTCAGGGGTGTTTTGGAGAGGTGCCCTGCATGAAGGCATTTCATGATGACTCTTGGTTAATAGAAAGGAAGGAGGGGACAAAACACAGGCCAGCCTTGAAGCACAGAGGCCTAGAGCTGTCACAGTAAGAGATACTTCAGGCTGGGGGAGTAGCCTGCTTCAGTCCATAACAGATGTAGACTAAGGTCACTTCACTGGGCACCTGTCATTTGCCAGGACCTGTCCCCAAGGGTCATGTGACACACCTTTAACCCACATCTCCTGCCTGCTAGCTTGTCTGCTCCACAGCCAGCAAACAGCTAAGACTCAGGGAGGCGAGCCGTGCTGCCCGAGACGGCACTTCCAGGAAGGGCTCCAACCTGCTCCTCCATGAGCCAGGGGGCTGGCAGACAGAAATCACCAGCATGTGTGCCAGGCCTATCTGTACATGTGGGCACACGATGAGAGAGTAACATGCATGGAACTTTTTGATATGGCTAGACTCACTGAAAGTCCAACTCCCATCTTAAGTCTTCCACCTCTTGGGCCTGGGCCTTAGGAGGAGGAGTGTGATAGAGACAGGTGAGGCCTGATACCTGGCCAAATGGACAGCAATGTCCTCGGGGCCCCTCAGGCTTTCCCAGCTCATCTCAGGGGCAGAGACAGTTTGTTAGCACAAGCATCCCTGGCCCATGGAAAAGGGGTCTGTCAGCATCCAGTACGTCCACCAGGCATGTCCTGAGAGCAGAGAAAAGGCCACGTCACCAGCTGCCAGTGACATCTGTGCAGAAGCAGCCCTCAGCCCAAGAATCAAGCTTGCCAGCCACCAACCAGAGAGCCCAGAAGCACAGGGCAAGCCACAGGTCAAGGTACCCCCCCCCCAGGTCTCTCCCTGACATGGAATGGTGGGACCCACTAGGACAGCTCCAGAGGCACACAGACAAGGTCAGCATTGCCCTCTACCCCACTGTGGTGGATAAGACACAGTAATCCCTAACTCTCTGGCTATGGCACAGCCCTGAGACAAGGTTGGAGGGCACAGCCAGCACAGGCCTGCAGAAAGAGGGTGCCACCCGGCCCCTTGATGGATACCACTACCTACATAAAGGAGGATCAGGGCAAAGCACTGTGGCTTCACACAGATGAATTCTTCTTTGTGGTAAAGATGGTGACAGTCCTGCCTTAAATGGAGGGAAGACACCTTTTATTCAGGGGGAACTTTCAAGAAAGGAGAGAGGACAAATTCTTGCCTTCAAGGGGCTGGAGGGGCACTGCATCCTGGTGGCCCAGGTAATAAGTATCTTTGAGTAGCTACTAAAGCCCTGATCCTGACTTGGAGGAGGCTCCTCGGGTAGAAACTTCAAGAGTACTCCACAGCCCTGGTTTCATCTGAAGGAACACAGCCTTCTGAGGAGAGCAGAGTGCAGGACAAAGGCAGCTTTCCCACTGTGATGGTGGGGCAGCATGAGGACCTGACCTGAATGTCCTCAGCATGTTTTAAAGTCTAGTCTTCATAGAGACAGCTGCACCAACTGGAAGAAACAGAGGTATAATTCTCCTAAAAATCTAGCGCTCCTGTCTAGTAAGCACCTACTATGTGCTGGGGCTTAAGGGTTTTTGTATTATAAATTTAAGACTACAGAAGCAAGAATGACTGCTGAGAGGGCAGAGTGAGCTTGGCTAGGAGGTTGAGCTGTGCCTCTGTAATGTCAGGCACACACGACACAGCCTCGTACACCAGGAAATCCAATCCCTGTGCCAGCCCAGAGCAGCCAGCAGTAAGATGGGCAGTGGGGAGGGGTGTCACTGGGATTATCTCACAGCATGAGGTCTCAAGTAAGCAGTCACAATTTAGGGATGAGGAGAAAGAAAGAAAGAAAAGGGTCTGCTGTAGCCATGTCCCATCACGGGCAAGACTTATGACTATGCCAAGTACATTCAGTGCTGAGGGCAAGACTCCCAGCGGGGCCATGGCTGAGTTGGGAAAATAGAAACACATGCTGCTTTCTGTAACCTATCCCTTGGAAGACTGAGTCTTTCCAAGGAATCCAGGAGCTGGGAATTTGGCTCTTAAGGTAGGCCCTTTTGATAAAACATTTGCTTTTGCTCTACAAATATTGAATGGAAGATATTCCCAGGAATACAAATAAAAAACAGTGATTTAAAATATAAAACAGAATATTTACCATATAAAATACCATTTCAAATGGCAACTTTCAAGAGAAAAGCCACATAAAAATGTAGCCCATGTCCAAGAACAGAAAGAGGTGAGTCCTACAGGGCAGGGTGTTCCTCATTGCAAAAGTGGGCTCCTTAGGTCACTGGAAGGGCTGACAGGCATGTTATCCTGCACCATGGCTACTTCATGCCACCACCCTGGAGACATCAGTAGCTCCCTCTTACCACTCACAGCCATTGAGCACCGTGTGGGGCCATAGGCATGATCTCATTCTGGCTTTTTTTTTTTTTTTGAGACAAGGTTTCTCTGTGTAACTCTGGCTGTCTTGGAACTCACTCTGTAGGCCAGGCTGGCCTAGAACTCACAGAGATTCGTCTGCCTCTGTCTCCTGAGTATTGGGATTAAAGGTATGCAGCACCAAGCCCAGCCTATCATTTGAGCCTCTTAATGACCCTATGTGGCTCCAATCTGACAGAGAAACTAGAGCCCAGGGCTGTTAGGCTGGCTGCCCAGGGAAGCTCCAAAGCCTGTGTTCTTCGGACCACATTCCTTAGCCTTCAAAAGATTCAGGACTTGGTACCCAGATTTTTATCTTCTTTTCTTTGCTAAATCAAGATACACAATTTTAAAGCCATAACCAAAAGGAATAAGAAACGATTATTGTTTCAGATCCTGGAAGGCAGAAGATCAAATTTCAAAAGGGAAAGCAGTTGACTGAGCTCTAATGTGAAGAAGAAACTTTCATTTCTTAGCTCCCATGAGTCTGGAAGCTAACCTTAGTCATTTTCGGTATCTGGAGAACCAGGCCATTCAAAGGCTTTGGAGGGGAAGGTCTTGGGTCAGAGGGATCTCATCTCTAACTGGGGCTGAAAGAACACAGGAATTCCCCGAGGCTAGAGCTCTGGGGAGGGGTGCATGGTGAGTCCCCAGTGAGGGTGCACCATGGTACAAGTGGTAGTCTGAGCCTTGGGCTGGCCCTGGGACAAGTACTCAGTCCACCTCTGCCAGCTTCCTTGGCACATTTGCAAGCTGCTGGGGTTAGGTGACAGTCATTCAGGTTAGAAGCCCACCAGGGCAGCAGAAACAGCTGTGAAAGTCAGTCATCCTGAAAACAGGATTGAAGCAGTTTGATGTGGGCCCAACCTAGAGGGAAAGCTAGGTGGTGATGTTAGAGATGTACAAAAAATATCCATACCCTTTGAACCAGAAATTCTGCTTCTGGGAACTTCTCCTAAAGAAATAATTCAAAAGAAAGAAAACATTGTGTTCATGAAGTAGCTCTTACAGTTTAGCTGAAAAAGAGTGAAATATAGTGGAAGCACTCCAAACTTTGACTAACGGGAAAATACCTATGGGAACTATGGCAGAAGTCTATGGGAAGTCCTAAGAAGTCACTTATAAAACTGTCAGACAGGTGTGGTGGCACATGCCCTGCCCTTGGGCTGTAGAGGAAGGAGAATTAGGAGTTCAAGGTTATCCCTGGCTATAAAGTGAGCTCAAGGCCAGCCCGAGCTACAAGAGACCGTGTCTACAAATTAAAGAAAGAAAAAAAAAATCCTCCTTTGTGGGCTGGGGGTGACATCACTGGTAGCATGCAAGAGGCTCTGGGAAGCACAGCCAGAGCTTCAAAAACACTATCACAGCCCACTCCCGATACCTCTGTGGCTCGCCTGTGCCCTGGAAGCTGCCCCTGCTCAGGCAGGGGTCAGGAAGGGCAGCAAGATGGCCTCTGCCAGCAGGGTCATGCAGGCAGTGAAGCCATACGCTCCATTAATAAGGTTCCCTGACAGAAGAGACAATCCTTAATGCCTCTGAAGCTATGGGATCTGGTGGACTACCCTCCCACTCATCTATAATTTCACAGTCTTCTAAAGGAAATACATCTCCAGATTTGCTGATGCATCCAAGACCACCAGACACTGCAGCGATAATAAAAACATTACCTCAGAAATACAGAAGGAAAACTATGTCTCAAGAAGAAATGGAATTTATCCAGTGTGGAGGCCCAGAATGATTACTGTGGTTGCTGTTTGCCATCAGACAAAAGGATTATCTTTACAATACAGGACTTTCAATACATCAAATAAAAATTGCCTATTAAACAGCCTTACAGAACATCAGCAACAACAAGCCCACTATCACAACAGGGGACCTGACACACGAGAGGAGAGGCGAGCGGGTGAGAGTGAGACCGCGGCAAGGACACCTGTGCCATCGAAAGAGGAGGAGTCTGGAGGCAGAGATGGGAGGGAAGCAAAGCCTCTCGAGTGTTGACATCAGGGGGACAATTCTCCTTCCTTTCAAAACGCTGAGATTGGCTGAGTTTTCTTTAAAGTGTAACACATAGCCAAAGAATGGAGCAAAGTAAACCACTTCCTGGAAGTCAATAGTGACAAACACAAAAACTGCTGTCCTTTACAGGGAACGTGGAAACAGAAGTGGGGACAATCGATAATTGCAGATATCTGGGAAGCTGAGGTAGCAGGATCACAAATTTGAAGCCAGACTGGACTTCCCAATGAGACACTGTCTCGAAACCAAATTGGGGAAAGGCAGAACACTTGCTGAGCATGTCCACGCCCTGGTTCCATCCCTAGTACTAAAAACAAAACCCCAGCACAAGGACCTCTGTTTTGCACGGGCTTCCCAGACAGCCTATGAAGATGGCTGGTGCTTCAATTCAGATTTTAATATTTTCCAGAGCCCACTGCTGGATCTTTTCCTCTGCACTAAGTTTAGCAGAGTCTGTGAGTAAACTCCTCTTGCTTATCTAAGACACCGGCATACTCCACCACTGTGCCCCCATGTCCTTTCGGTGTTTATTATCTGCCAGGAACTCCACAGCCATCCTGCCAGCTACTTCAGGTAAAAGTTGAGGAGAACGTAGGTGGAACTTCAGGCTCAGGGAGGCTAAGTAATGCTCCTAAGGTCACACAGAACAGGGCTTAACCTCTGTGGGCCTGACTCATGTATTCTTTCTTAGCCACTTCTTCCAACCGCCCCTACAGGAATGGGGATAGCCCAAATCCCAAGTTCCAGTTCACTCATTCTCCCTGGACCCCAAGAACTCTGATGACTTTTGTTTTAACATGGCTGGCATGACTCAGGGGCACTTCTGGTATTTTTGGGTCTTACACTAAAAAAAAAAATAAATAAATAAAAGTATTTGTATTGTGTGCACATGTGGAGGTCAGAGGACAACTTGCAGGCGTCTGTGGTTTGCTCAGGGGACTGGGAATGTGCGTTGCTTGAAGATACAAGGTCCCCACTTCCTCTGTTGCCCCTGAGCACGTGGTTAAAAGTGCCAGCAAGGTGAAGGAGGCTTCTTGTCTGGGGCACACACCACTTTATGTGCTTTCTGAAATCCTGAAGTGAAACCCCTCTGCTTCTCTGGCCACAAGCAGACCAAGGAAGAAGATGTGGTAGTCAGCTGGGGAGCTGTCATGCATGCCTCTAAATTATCTATTCATAGTTACATCTCCAGGGAATGATTTTCTAGGAAAAGGCAGCATTGCTTTCTAAGAAAGAAACCGAGATCTTACGCAGGAGATAAAATACTGTGAAGAGCCTGACTGAGGCTGCTTCCTAGAGTGGCCACCTCAGAAAAAAAGTGCTGATAAGGGGGATCACCTCTGCTGCTTCTGAGAACTTGGCTCTACACACGTGCTCGCCCGACTCCTGGCCAGCATCACCTCTCATTACCAGATACCTTGCTAGTGTACTGCCCGGAGTCGAGGTTCATACCCATCTCCTCTATACTGGGTGTTCTAACCTCTGCTCCCCCATGCTTAAAAGAAACTTGGCCTGGCTTCCATTCAGGGTTTTGGCTGCACTCTGCCCTGGTGCAGGTGGTCTGACAGCTGCCCACAGAGGTGCCAGTTGCCAAAGAATCCCAAGTTCCAATTTCCAAGGGCAACAGGCTCTGGAAAAGCCATGTATGGTAGTACATGGAAAGCCATGTATGGTCGTAGGTGTGTGTGAGGTGGCAGTCTATATAGGTGACTAAGCATATATTGGAGGCAGGCTTTAACTGACCTAGAGACCCTTTCTCTATGGCCAGGAGAGGCAAGATCACACTCACCCTCCTCGTCTTCTCCACATCACCACATGGCAGCCGCTTCACAAAATCAATACCAGTCAGTGGGGTGCCCGTTGGGGGCAGGAGGATAGAAGCATCCATCATGAGATATTCCACATTCATGGGCTTTATCTAGGAGAGACAAAGCACAGGAAGCCTCAGAGAAGAGCCTACCTGTACCCGTATCACGAGTGAGTGTCAGATCTGAGTGTAGACTGAGACCATGCTTCTAGTCTGCCAGATGAGTGAGAGGCTTTTTCCATTTTCCAACTTGCGGCTTTTCCCTTCATGTACGCCAGAGGGTCCTATGGCCACATAGTGCTGGTTGCCTGCCTTCCTTTGTAGGACACATTAAACACTGTCTTCTAGAGGCCTGAACCCTCCTCCAAATCCCTGGATTTCAGAGCAGGATGGCAGAGCCATGTTCCCACTCCAGGCTGCTCTTAGTGCTAGCTTTCCAGCAGGGCCTTTTCACAGTACCCATTGGCTGTAACTGCTCCTACAATGCCAGAACCTCTCCAGGCAATTCCTTCCATTCTGCCATGAGGGTGGGAGACAGCGGTGAGTCTCAGGGCCCACTCTCCCTTTAGCAATCAACCTGGGTTGCTAAGGGATGTAAGAGTCAAACTTGGAGGCCTCATTTCCACCTGCCTCCTGCAGTCCAAGAGCAGCACTCAGGACAACTTCACTTAAGTGAGCTCAGAGGCCAATTTCCTAGGGGCAGTTGAGGACTGACTTCAGTCGCAGGGCCTGGGGTGTGCCACCTTAGTATTTCTGGGGAAAATGTCAAGGATTGTGTAGCTGAACCCACCATAAACACTAGAATAAACTAAGCAAACCTCAGGAAGCTTCCTATGGGGTGGGATGAGGGAGAACAGAGGTTTTGCTTATGGGCCTAGCATGAGGACTGCTGTGGGTATTTCACATCTGGCTGGGGCAACTCAGAAGTGTAGGCCCCATGGCACAGATGACCAACAGCCAGGCTCAAAATGTAAGTAACCTGTCCAAGGTCACAGAGTTAGGAAGCAATAAAAGCAGACATCACAGGGACTCTGGAGTCCTGACTTTTCCAAATCACTAATAACATATAGACTTTACATTTCCAGGCTGAAAAGAGTCCTGTGGAGGATCACACTCGGGAAGGGGAGTCTGCACTAGAGGAGGGAAAGATGACATCTACGGAGAGCTCCCACCTGGAACTGCTGGTCTGCAGGGGAAAAGTCTGAGCTGCCCTAAGCAGGACAGTCTATGTAGGCCAATAAGGTCCAGGCACAGTCACGGCAACCCATATGTCACAGGAGGTATGACCTTGAAAAGTCTCCGTTGATGCCTCAGGGGGGCCGTGATAAAGATGTGGTGAGGGCTCTGCTGCTGGAGCCCTGGAGACAGGCTTGGAAGCCAGGGAGCCACTTAGCTGTGTGCCTGCCTTTTTCTTTCTGACACTTTAAACACTTAGGATCATTATAAATGTCCCCATCACTTCATGCTTTGGTGAGTTATGTCCATGAAAAAGCTCACTTATCATCTATTTATCGAGTGCTACTTGGAGCTGATTCTGTGGATGTAGAGAGACAAACAAAATAGAAAGTGTCATCGCCACAGTCTGCAGTCTATGCTCCAGGGAAAGGCATGGCCTGCAGGGGCACCTCCCCCCATGCTTACTGCTCTAGAGGAGCAGCAGAGAGAACTCCACCATGAAAGCCTGGCTCTGCCATTAGCAGGCTGGACAGACTTAGGGACATTACTCAGCCTCTGACTCCTATTTTCCTCGTCTGCACAGAGGAGACAATGGCAACAGCTCTTTCCACAGGTAAAGATTCCGGATTGAAGTTCCCAGGGTTGGTGGGGAAGTGAGGGAGGGAGAGAGAGAGAGACAGAGACAGAGACAGAGAGACAGAGAGAGAGGAGGAAGAGAGAGACGAGAGAGACAGAGAGAGACAGAGACAGAGAGAAAAAGATAGCAAATCCATTTTTTTGAAAGAGCAATTCATTGTTGCACACTCTGCATGGCAGACTGCTTAGAGCTCCTTGGCTATGGAGAACTGGAATGTTGTAGGTTTAGAGTCATTTATCTTTAGCTTTCTTAATAGCTGTTCCTTGCTCACCTCTGTCTGACCACACACCCTTGTGACTACCAGGTGACTTTTTGGGATGTGTTAATCTAACCTACCATTAGCTTCCGCTAACCTCAAAGCTCAGCTCGTCATTAGACAGCATCTGAGACCTATGGTAGAGACTTCCCCCACTTTGCTGGAACCTGCCACCTGATGTTCCCATTGATGCATTTGAAAAGTGCTTAGACTTCGGATTTTGTTTTGTTTTGTGACTACATGAAATCAGTTCCTTGTCACACAGGTTTGGGGCAACCTGAGTATTGGACATAGTCACTTATATTTGGCTCTGAGATAAACTCTCTCTTACTCTCTTTAAGGTGAGAACTGTGTTTTGTGTCAGATTTAATACATACAACATGCTCTCCACCCTAGCAGGAGTCAGTCTTTAATAAAAGGACACCTCTCTTTGACTGATACACAGTGCCCCTGACTGCCTTACAGACACAGTGCTGTTACCTCCTGCAGCACTGAAGCAGCAGCACTCAGGGCCTGACCCTAAGGACTGGCTAAGGACTGACATCTGTCGCAGGGCTCAGGGTGTGTCACTTTAGTATTTCTGGGGAATGTTAAACAGTGTTAAGACATGCCATAAACACTGGAGTACAACAAGCAAAACCAGGAAGCAGGGGGGAAGTGAATATTCGTACTTTTTCATGTGGGCCTAGCATGAGGACTGCTCCTGGGTATTTCACATCTGGCTGGGGCAACTCAGAGGTGTGGGCCCCACTGCACAGATGACCAACAGCCAGGCTCAGAACCTAAGTAACTGCACAAGGGCTTCCTGTTAGGAAGCGATAAAAGCAGACACTGCAAGGGCATCGGAATGAGTATCATCTGAAGTTTTAGTGGTGGTGGCAATCAAATTTACCTCACTCCCAGTCCTTGCCACTAGATCAGAAAGTCCCGGATGGGGCAGAGCCCTCTGTGAGTTTGGCGGGCACAAAGGGACACACTAACCTCCGTACGTTCTGACCGTGTACTTACTGTCATGCTCCTGTACTCATCCTCAAACATGTCCAAAAAAATCTCTTCTCCCTGCAAAGAGAAGAAGAGAGTAAAGAGAAGCTTATTCCTACCCCACACACACAGCATTGCAAATGCTGTGCTTGACTTTTGAGGCCATCTGTTTCTCATTACAAGTTCTTGTAAATCACCAGAAAGTAAAATACACATGTGAACGTGAGCACACATGCGCAGATGAGTATCAAATATCAAACTGCACTGCTCAACATTTTCCTCTTCTTTGAAAGCACACTGAGCTAGAGTTCTTCTGTCAGATCAGTTAATTAGAGCACAACAAAAAATAACATAATACATAATTAAAACATAGACAAGTTAATATTTCAAGTGCTTAACATCATTTACTTCTCCAGAATGGTTGGAAAAGTAGGGAATGCTGATTAAGCCACCGAGGTAGACATGCAAGGCCCATTCATGCCTAGGGGGAAGGGCATAACTACCAATACTTAGCACTAAGATAATAATATTGCTTGCTTCATTTGTTTTTGAGGAAAGTCTTGAGGTTTGGTTGCTAGGGGCAATGACTGCCCAGGACTCCACCTTGGAAAATCCAGCACCTCCTGACTCACTGTAAGAATGAGATGGCAAAGGTGTTATGTGCCGGAAAAGAATAGGCTGGAGCCCATGTCCATCAGGCCACTCACTGTGAAGGTAAAATAATGCACAGAAAAAGGATGGCCACAGAGCCTGACAATCGGTCGGGGCTTGGGAGATGTCAGTGCGGCCCCTGTTCTGCCTCATGAAGTCAGAACCATCCTGCCTCTCTGGGCTGGGAATAAAATGCAAATGCAGTGTTTCTTCTGTTTGGGACCAGGAGGCAGCTTCTGGGAAATGGCTACACTGTGTCTTTCTGTGTTGACAAGCTCACTGCTTTCAAGGGGTAGACAGACTAAGAGCAGTTCTATTGGGAAGAGGCCCAAAGAGGACTAGGGCAGCCCCAGGTTTCTTCTTTCTTCTGGGCTGACTAGAGGGGCATGTTCTTGCTTAAAGGCCTAGTGTGGTTCTCTGAAGGGCAGCTGGGATTTCCTGCCCAGGGTGTGGTGGCCCACAGTGGTGGCCCTTTGGGCATGTCTACAACTACAGTTGGATTATAGGTCACCTGGTCCTGGCAAGGCAGAGTCCTAGATTACAGGACTGGGCTTCAGCTCAGTCAAGAACTGACAACAAGGGCAGCAGGTGGTGGGCAAAGCTGCAGTACTTCAAGTGCGGGCAGTGGGAAGCGAGGTGCTGCTGCTACTTCCCTTAGCAGGAGCTCTGAGCTTTGTTCAGGGGGAGCAGGACCAGGATTTACAGAGATCAAAAGATGAGCTAACTAGGGTGACTAAGACGACTAGCCATGTGGATGAATGAACCCACTACAGCTGAACATTAGTCACCCCAAACTCATCCTCCATGTGGGCCCTCACTACACACCTAATCTGCCTTAATCATGGACTTCGTAGTTTCTGGAATAACTGCTGCTGACAGTGTTTTCTCATGGCAGCCCAACTATACTAAAACATGCCTTAAACAAACTAAACAAACCCAAACAAAACTGTTCAAACTGGATATCTTAAAGCAATCACTTGGAACCTAAAGATAAATGTCTCTAAGTCCTTCAGATCCTAAAGGTCATCTCACTAAACTCAAGATAGTTTTTCATATGCCTGCATGAGACTTCTTAGCATGCATGTTTATAGACATTACACATGTATATAATTGATGAAATCATGGGTGATTCATAGTACTTTTCTATGTATTAGGATACATAGCTCACAAACATATGACTTTGTCATACGCATACATCTCATAAATTACGGTAATTCACAAATAATTGACTGCTATAAACTAGTAGTAAGTCCTCAAAAATTGTATTGTTCTTATAAGAAAGCACAAAAAGTTTAGTGTAGTGGGTAGCTGTTCCAGCTTTGACCTGAAGTACTACCCCCATTGAGGCTTGGGTAACTGTCACACCTACAAGGTGGGTCTAAGACAGGAGCCCTGAAGACCCGAGATCCGGATGTGCCGGCTCTCTTGGTTCCTGGATCCTGGACGCTGGAGGTAGACTGAGCAGAGTTCTCCAGAGAACACTGCTGGACTGTGCTACACCTTTCCCGGATCCTGTAACCTATCCCTTTATTAGTAAGTTACCCCACAAAATAAACCTCCCTTTTAATTACGTGGAGTTGCCTTAATACTATAGCAAATAGTTTAGAGACCACAGCTCTGGAGACTGCAGAATTCAGCATGTGTGCTCAATATTCACAGGTATAAGAAAGAAACTGGAGGGCTGACAAAATGGCTCAGCAGGAAAACCTGATGACCCAAGTGTGATCCCCAGATTCCACTCCTCAAAGTTCTCTTCTAACCTGTCTGCACACCTTAGAATGCACATACTTATACATGCACGTACGTGCACATGCGCGCATGCACACACATACACCCACGCGCACACACGCACCCTGAAGATTTCGTATAGGACTAGACCCCACCATTCTATACTCCATGAGAAATACCCCATGCTGCTGTCCGCCTGTGCTGCTAAGTACCTTATAGAAATGCCGTACAAGGTGGACACTCTCTTCTCTTGCACCCTGTAAAAAAAGAAGGAAGATGTGAGGGATGCAGATCTGAGGTGAAATGGTGGGTGACTCAATTACACAGAAAAATAGGTTATTGAATACAGCTATGTCTTCACTTTAATAAACCACAAAGTTATTTCACCAGTGTGTAATTATATATGTGTAGGAGTGGATCAGAACAGACACATCCAAAGGTAAAACCCTCAACTGTTCTTTTTCACCTCTGCATTTCCTACATTTTCTAAAAATCATGAAGGGGAACAAAAAAAATGATAAAAGATACTGAGAACCTAGTAAATGTGTTATTTTAGCAGACACACACACACACACACACACACACACACACACACACACACACACACACACACACAC